CTATCATGAATCATACTTTCATTTCTTTCATGAAAATCTCTTAATAAAATCATATACCAAAATCTCATATTAATAATTTTTCAACATTATTTACTCATATTCATGATGAAGATGCGTCGTTTGAGACGAGGAATGAGCTTAGATTTATTTTAATTTACAAAAGTGATTTTCTTTTCATTAAACTCATTTCACCATTAAAAATGCAACCTTATTTTGTAAAAGGGATTTTTGGAATAAGACTCTTACATTGGTAAGAGTAAATTTTGGAGTTGCCACCATCTTTAAAAAATATATATATATCGAACCAACCATTTCTTTGAAAATGATAGACTCGGTTTTAACCAGAGTCTAGGTAAAGAAGTTAGGTACGACCTTAGGAAGGTCTTAGGCGCCTAGATCACCCGATCATAAGATCAACCTCCATTGTTTGTCCGATTATTAACAACTAAGTATCAATATTAACTTTAAATTATTTTAGTGCATTTTTTTTATAAAACATGACATTCATAAGCATTATAACCTATCAATCATAAAAGGAAAAAAAAAAAAAAAAAAAAAAAAAAAGAGAGAGCGAGAGAGAGAGAGAAAAGAATTAAAAACCATATCCTAAAATATATTCTAACCATAATCCCAAAAAATTTCTCAAACCCTTATCTATTACTATTTTGCAAGTACTTAGGGTTCATTATGAACTCTTGACATAGTGCCAAAAATAATATAAAGTATTAAAAGAAATAAACCAAGCATGAAAAATATAATTACAAATAATTATAGTACAATAAATCACAACAGCAATCGTCAATAAAATTTGAGCATGAACAATAAATTATCAAACAATGAGAAAAAAAAACAAAACAAAACAAAACATTAAACAAGATTAATGGTTAGGGGTTAGAACAATGATAAATGAAAAATAATAAGATAAAAGTGCTTGAATCTTAAATTACTGGAATTTCAAGTATGAAAATGTAAATGATAGTAAAGTAAATAGGTTATATTTTAAGTTAGATTCAAGAATTTGATGTTCATCATAAATGATGAACAAATATGATCATCACAATCCAAATCTGGCTTTTTGTTTTTGGTAAGGGCCATAATGAGTTAAAAACACTATTATTAGTATTAATGCTTAGTGTTAGACTCAAAAAGGACCTGTAAGAATTGATTAAAGCACATAAATAACAAAATCTAGCTCGCTGGATTGAAGCCACGTGCGCCATAACTCTTGTGGCGTGCGAGCTTTCCTAGACTAGAGCCCATAAAAAAAATACAAACTGTACTATGTGGATAATAAGATAGTGGCATGCGCCATAATGTATGGCGTGCGCCGTTGGGTTGTGGCGTGTGCCGCTACACACATAGACAACACCTTATAGTTCGTCATGGGATTCCCTCACAACCAAGAAGAAGTAGGTGGTTTTAACCATTAAAGAAATGCAAAAGAAGATGAAATAGATAAGGACTCTCAGATATTACTTGAATGTGAGGAAATCACAAGTTTTGATGAAGAAAGTTCAAGAACACCCAAGTTTTGATAAAGATCGATAGAACTTGATTTGAGCCAAGGCTCTGATACCAAATGATGTGGAACCCCAAGCATAGCGTCTTGACACCTGTAATCAGATTTGATATATAAATCCTAATTCCCAAATTAGAAATTTCTTATTCGATGGAATTACGGATCTTGACCCAAAACTCAACTAGAAGTATGAACCAAAGATATCAAGGTGAAAGGATCAACACCATAAAGATTAATTATCTTTGATAAGTTCGAAAACAAGTTCAATGAAGAACCAAAGAAAATTCACCTCTCTTGAAATAAAACAAATAAATTGAAAACCTGTCTACAATGCTTGATAGCTAAGTATTTATAGGTAGGAAACCCTAAAACTAATTAAAATATAAAGTTCAATTGAAATAGGCCCTATTATACTAATTTAAACACAAGCTAAATATAAGGCCTAAAGTCCAAAAATTTAGATCGTGTGAACCAACCTTGGATCTTCTTGCAAGTCATCTCTTTGTTTGGCACTTTATCATTTTAGCCCAAATATCTTCTTGACCAATCCATCAAATGCTTCATTGACTTTCTTAGTTCTTGCCCGTGTAATAGATCCATTTGGGAGTAGAATATCCTCTTGTGCAATTAGGGTTTGTGTGTTTGTATCACAAGGTGACCCTTTATCTCTGTACTTATTTATTCTATGTGCATAGGGTTTATCCTTATTATTTCTGATCGTAGGGTTTGGATTCATGGATGTCAGGTTTCTACTAGGAGCCCTAGTATTTCTCATTTACTTTTCGTTTATGACTCATTATTTTTCTTTTTTGCTTTTGTTAGTTAGAGTATCAGGATTAAAGAGATACTAAATCTATATGAAACTATTTTTGGTTACCTAGTTATTTTTTCAAAATCATGTATTCTTTTTAGTCCAAATGTGAAGCATGTGCTTCAGAAAAATGTGTCTTCTATTCTTGGAGTTTTTCATCTTTTATGAGTGAAAATTATTTTGGTCTCTCATCAGTGATAGGTAGAAATAGAAAACAAGTCTTTTCTTTTTTTCTTTTTAAAGATATATTATGGAAAAGGACCAATGGATGAAGCTCTAAATTATTGTGAGGTCCTTTTAAAACCTGTATAGCTCATGCTATTTTTGCTTATAGTATGAGTATTTTTCTATTTTTTGCCTCTATTTGTTTGATATGCAAAAAATTATGAATATATATTAGTGGTGGGGTCAGGATATTGACAACTCTAAAATTTATTGGTTATCTTATGATCATATATGCCAAAGTAAAAAGTTTAGGGGTATGAGTTTCCATGAATTACATTGTTATAATGTAGCCATGTTAGCTAAATAAGGTTGGATGTTATTAAATGACTCTAACACTCTCCTTTACAGCATTTACAAAGCCAAATAGTTTTTCAATGGGGATTTTTTAACTGCGAAGTTAGGTTCTAACCCTAGTTTTACTTGAAAGAGTGTATTGTTTTCTAAAGATATATTAAAATAAGGTTTGAGATGGCGGGTAGGAAATAGGAAAAGTATTATGGTGCATTCTAATCGTTGGTTGCCTAAGTTAGATACCCATTTCGTAAAAATCCTTGATTTATTCAGCTTGAGAGATAATATAATTATTCTTCACATTCCTTTGAGTATTCATAATATTGAAGATATGATTATATGGGGTAAGGATAAGAAGGATTGTTTAGAGTAAGTTATAGCATATAAATGTCACTCCAAAGATTAGGCACTTTATGTGGCATGCTATTAGAGGTATTTTGCCTATTAAGGATAAGTTATCTCATAGAGGTGCAGATGTGGATATGATATGGTGTTTTTGTAAAGAGGTAGGATTTAGATTATATTCTAATTTTGTGTCATAAAACTAATGAGGTATAGGAAAATTTTATACTTTTCCTGGCTCATGTCACTTTCAAAGGCTTATTTTTGCAGGTTTTGAATTCCTCTCTCGATAGAATCAAAGTTGCAGAGTTTGCATTTACTGCATCGAAAATTTGATTTCACAAAACCAAAAATTCTTGTTCTTGAGTGAACTGGTTACTAGTACTTTTTTTGCGTTATAAGAATGACATTGTGTACATAGCTTGGACCAATCTCGTCCTCATCCTATGCGTGGCTATGGTGGATTTTGATATGTTGGATGGTGAAGGGACTTCATTATGATCTTCTTATGGCCACAACACCAGTGTTGAAGCATGGTTTGGATTTGTTGATGGAGCCACATTTCCATCTTTTTCTTCATCAGGCTTTGGCACAATCTTTGAAAATTGAGGACGCAATTTTTTTTGAAGCTATTTTCAACCATTTTCTTTTACATGGTGATCTAGCAATTATGGAGGCAATTACCTTAGATCAACTCTTTTGTGGGTTTCAGTGTCATTTTCTCGGATTGTCAACATCTTGTTTATGTTTTGTACTCCTCATCTACTAATACTTTTCTGTTCGGATTGGTTGTTGAGAATCACAAGTTAATTATTGAACGTAGAAACAATATTATTGTTGGATGAGGAGAGAAGCTAATGTGTAGAGTTTGTTCATTAACTAGAGTTTCCTATTAATATGATAGTTTCAAACAAATGTGATTCGATTCGTGATTGCATTTCTTAATTGTTTTCTTAATGAATTTGATATTTTTTTCTTTTTTTTTTTTTTTTTAAAAAGTAATTACCTCGGTTATCCCGCTATTCTAAATGGGCTTTACAATTTATAATTTGTGTTAAAAAATTTAGTAAAATTAGAGCATTATCAGATGTACCATAATATTTTTTTATTTAAAAAAAAGAGTAACTTTATCATGACAATTACCCACCCTTTGATGAGATTTGAAAAAGGCAGGACCTTTAGCCATCATTTGATTCTCAAATTTAAACAAAAAGTCCAAAGCATAGATTCCACCAATGCTAAACAAGTATGAACGGTACTTGCTAGGAGATGCTGACGTCTACTACAATTAATTTTGTAATTATTACTTTACTTAATTATTCCTTCTCAACATCATCATTTTCAACCGCTGCCTTAATTTTGTGATACAACCATAACTTATTCGTCAACCATAATTTTAATGACAATTATTACAAAAATGGATCAATTTTGGAACCTAACCATTTCATCGCATCAACACAGTAAAACCATTTAACCTCACATCTTGTTTGATTTTAAATAATTTATAATATAAAATTTCATCTATTAATATTTTATATTCAATTTCACAAATTAAATTTATAAAGTCAATAATCGTGATTTGATTGATTTTTTCATTTTTGGTGAATCAATAATAAGAAACCGAAACAGATAAAATAATATATTAAAAAAATTAAAATTAAACTGAATTTTTATAAATCAACTTGAATTAAACCTAACCAACAGTTGATCAGCTTTGTCTTTATCGTATTATGTCAGCCCTAATCATTTGTATCAAAAGAGCATTAAATAAAAGATTCCAGCTTGATCAATCAAACAAAAATAGATCACCAATGAAAACTTCAAAATCAACATTGCATTGCAAAAAATTGAAAACATTTCTTTTTCCAGACTCTACACAAATTAAAGGAAAAATTAATAATTTAAAAGACAGCGTCGCCCTTGATACTTAACATCTCTGTACAGGTGTATTAACTGTAATGCCCTCAGCATTTTAACACAATTCCAATCCCGAAACCCAGCATCAGCGCCATGAGATCAAAGTCAAATGCCTTCCAACAATACACCGTTTTTGTAATTCCGACGACTGCCAATTGAAAATAAACCGCAAAAGGCGAAAAGAAAAAGGAGCGGGAAAAACATAGTAATGGAAACAGAGGAACAAATGTAAAATGAAAAACAGAAAACGAAACTAAGGAAAGGACTGATCTGTTTTTGTTCGTCTGTACCTTTTTTTTTTTTTTTTTTTTAAAAAGGTTAAATCACCTGTCATTTACCGTCCGTCACCATCACGCACCAATCCTTCAGCGACAGACGCCAATCTCTGGAGGTTCAACTTCACAACTGTATCGGCAAAGAGCCGCGTGTCCTCCTCAGTGTTTCCTTGTGGTACGTCGACAACGTACGATTCTAAAACAACGGTCCAGATCCTACCGTCACGTTCAAACCGATGCACAGACGTCACCGACCGGTAATTCCTCAGCCTATGCTCTCCTCCAATAATAGTAAAACCCGTGACTTGTCGGTCATCGTCCAAGATATCCAGCCTCTCGGTACTGGTGGCAGCCGGTAAGCCGGAGATCACGTTGACGTCACGTGTGGACCCTACAGTCATTGTAAATCCTGGCTCCACGGTGCAGCTCTTGATGAAGTGCTTGTAAGTCTGTGGCTTGTCGAAACGGCGTACTATGGACCAGATGACGTCGTTTCGAGCCATGATGCGTTGGGCTAACAGAGAAGAACATTGGCTTGGGACGATTCTGTAGGTGTGTAACTCAGATATAAATGGAGCTAACTCATCGAACTCAGCCTGAGTCAACCCGAGTGGAATCGTCAAATGATGAGCTGTGTCAGTTGGTTCTTGTTCTGGGTCGGCCATAGAGACTGATGAGAGAGAGAGAGAGAGTGAGAGAGGAGATAAGTCAGGTTTTGTTTTTCGAAATAAAGAAAGGGGATTTTGAACAAACAGTGAGGGCAAATTGGTAACTCCAACATGGTTTTTTATTAATATTAAAATTTTAGTATTTGATTTTTGGGATTTTTTTTTAAAGAATAATATATTTTGCAGTAATAAAATATTGTGCTTTATGGGATATGTGAAAGGTGGCAAGTGGGTGAAAGGGACAGCTGGGATAGGGTTAACTGCGTTTCATGTTGATTGCTTGACAGATCAACCTGTCTAAGCTGCGAAGCCGAACTGGACTGTTACCTGATTTAATGTTTTTATTTCTTTTTTTTGTTTCTAAAAACTAATTTCCCAGGAAATAATAATAATAACTCTGATGCTAAATTTTTTAATTTTTTTCTATTTGGTACATGTACAGGAAATGTCATGTAATAAACAAAAATTCAGATTTTAAAATCCACGAAATTTTTTATTAAATAAAACGTTTACAAATTATAAATAAATAATCTAAAATTTTTTTTAAAAATTAAACTTTAATATGGTACCCAATTTTAACTTTTTTTTTTTTTTTTTGCAAGGAAGACAAAACAAATGAATATCGTAAAAATTCAATCAAATTATAGAAAAATAAAATAAAATTTTAAAAATTTCTTTAAAAAAACAGAAATTAAAAGGAGAGAACATTTAGAATTTTATTTTTTATTTATATTTTAGTTGAACGATTATTATTATCAAATATTTACAATTAAATGTATTTAAAATTTCAAAAATATAATTGATTATTTGCAATCTTAAAAAAGGATATACAATAAAAGAAGAATTCTTTAATATCTTTATTTATTTTTATATAAATTTTAATTATAAAAATCTATATTTTTATTTATGTACTAATTTATTTATTGTCTTATTGCTTTAATTAATAATTCTTTACCACTCATATGATGTTTGAGATTTTATATTATTGATATAATTAATATACAATAAACAAAAACATCAATTAAACTATTAAAAATTTTAATAATATTTTTTATTAACATTTTAATAAAAATTCAAATTAAATTGATTTGTTTTCACAATACTTTAAATTTAAATTTAATGTTTAAGGAAGTCTTAATTAGAATTTAATTAATAGAATGTATTATTATAACTATGTTAGAGTTTGAGTTAGATATAAATTAATAAAAAAATGCAAATAAATTTTATTATTTAACTATCAAATATTAATAATTGATAATAGACATGGATATCCGATGACATTTTATGCTTCTTTATGTTGCGCGCAACATCATTCGTTAATGCAGCTTATTATCCTAAAATACAATTCAATTAAAATTCAAACTCTAATTACTAATAATTTATTATTTAATTAAAATAAAAATAATTTATTACTTAATTACTAATCTAACAAATTTAATTTCTTCAAGTCTACCATACCATACTCAAATTTAATTTGAGTTTGGAGACTCTCCCTATTCAGGTTGGTATTTATTTATTTATTTATTTATTTTTGTCCTATATATATATTATCTCTCCCTATTCAGGATCACTATATTAACTTGGATTAATCGGTGAATTGGTGTTATATTTTTAAGGCTCTTTCATAATATATATATATATATATATATAGTGCATTCTTTTCATATTTAACAATAAAATTTTTAAATTATAAAAATTCTATTATTATTAAAAAATTTTATGAGATAAAAACTTTAATATCTTTAATTAATTTTCAATATTATAACCAAACGGAAAATAAGTTATTTGGAAAATATTTTTCAAGAAAAATGTTTTCCATAGAAAATATTGTTCAATAAATTATTTCCTATAAAGAACTGTAATATTAACGTTACAAACATATTATAGGAAAATATGCAGGAAAATGCATTTGACTCGAATCGCCAAAATCTTCTCCGATGTGTCCTTAGATGAATTACAATTATATGTCTAAAAAATATTAAAAAAAAAAAAAAAATCCTCAGAATTTAAGAGGAATTGTTCGAAAAAGAATAACAAGCACAAACCACTACTTATAAACACATCAAACAAGATGGCAAATAATCATTAAAGAACAACTACAATAAAAAAAATATTATCAGGTAATAATTAAAACGAGTAAATATAAAAGTTAAAGAAATGGAATCGCTCGAAAAAGAATGATAGGCAAAAACCATTAATTTTAAATCCAACGAATAAATAAAAAGACTAAATAAAATAACCTATTTTCGAATAAGCCTCGAAATATATAATAATATTAATTAAATCCAACATTAGTTATTTATTTTTGTTCATCTAATTATTCTTTCATTTCTTGTATAGATAAAACAATTTTCATAATAAATTTTTTTTTTCATTAGTGACATGTTCGTAATAAAATTTTTCTTAAAAAGATGCTTATTATAATGATTAATTATGCATTAGTGACATGTTCGTAAAATAGTGAAAAAAATATAATAAAATTTAAGATAAAGAATTAAATTTATTTTTTTAATAAATATCTTTCATTTTAAAGGATAATAATAAAATTTAATAAATATTAGAATGATTAATTAATAAATATATAAATATTAATCATAATTTTGCTCTCACAATGCAGGCAAGTATCCTTTACTTTTTGTTAGCTGTTATTTATATATTAATAAATAAATTGACAATGTGGGCAAATATTCTTTACTTTTTGCCAATAATTCTTTTGATTAATTAATAAATATTAACTAATATTGTCTAATATTTGTCTGTTAATATATTCTATAAGGTTTATACTTTTGGTTTTGTTCAAGAAGAAATATCCTTGTGCCAGAAATCTATTGTTGATTTAGACTTAAAAGCAGAAGATGTTGCTTTAACGAACCATGAGATTTGAAAAAGGAGAAATTTAACTCAAAAGTTATGGATTTTGCAGAGATATAACAAAAGTATGTTGATGCAAAAATCAAGAATACAATGGATTTGAGAAGGAGACTCAAATACTAGTTTTTCCATGCTACTGTTAATAGAAGATGCATTAAAAACCACATTGGAGGCCTTTTTGTGGATGGCTCATGGATTTCAAAAGTTAGCCAAGTCAGAGCTGTTACAAAACAATTCTTTTCTAATATTTATGCAGATTTTCCTAAACCAAGACCTGTTTTAGTTGGAGGTGTAATCAAATGTCTTTCACTTGAAGATGATGCAGCTTTTGAAGTGCCATTCTCGGAAGAAGAAATAAAGATGGCAGTGTGGAGTTGTGCTTCTTTTAAGGCTCCAGGTCTTGATGGTTGCACAATGGGATTTTACAAGCAAAGTTGGGAGATTATAAAGGGGATCTGTTTAGACTAATCCATGAATTTTTTCAGCATGGCAAACTCACAAAAGGGATCAACCCTAGTTTTCTCACTCTAGTTCCAAAGAAGTTGTCTCCATAAACTCTTAATGACTTTAGACCCATCTCTCTAATAGGTAGCGTCTATAAGGTAATTTCAAAACTCACTTTATGATTGAAAAAGGTTATGGACTCCATCATTGAGGAATCTCAATCAGCTTTTATCGGAGGGAGGCAAATTATTGATGGTATCCTTATTTGCAATGAAATAATGCATGAATTAAAGCTAAGAAAGGTAAAAGGTGTATAATTTAAAGCTAATTTTGAAAAGCGCATGATTCAGTCAATTGGAAGTTTTTGGTGGATTTGATGTCAAAAATGGGGTTTGGTTCAAAATGGAGGAGTTGGATAGAACAGTGTCTTAAAAGCTCTAAGTATCTGTGCTTATTAATGGCTCCCAGACTGAGGAATTTCAAATGTCTAGAGGTCTAAAGTAGGGAGACCCACTCTCCCCCTTTCTTTTTCTAATTGTTGTTGAGGGCCTTAATGTGCTAATTCAAAAGGCTATAAGACTTGGTTTTCGTTCTGGTTAAACATAGTTAATGAAGATGTTATTATTTCACACCTTCAATTTGCTGATAATTCAATAATTTTTAATTATGCAAATAGTGATCAATTCAGAATCTCGGGAGGATTTTACTATGTTTTCAATTATTGTCATACCTCAAGGTAAGCTTCCAGAAGAGTAACCTTTTTGGTTTAAATATGACTAGAGAGGAGTTGCAACAATTTGAAGGTCTTTTGAATTGTTTACCAGGAAATTTGCCAACAAAGTACTTGGGGATACCTGTTGGATGTGGTCCAAGAAACGTAAAGACTTGGCAATCTATTATTGACAAGTTTGCAGCCAAGTAGCCGGAATAAAAAGTAGACACTTCTCTTTAAGAGGTAATGTGTCCCTTATAAAATTAGTCTTATCTTCCCTCCCTTTTTGTTTCATGTCTATTTGCAAAGTTCAAAGAAAGGTAATCACGAATATAGAATCAATGCAAAGAAAATTTCTATGGGGCGAAGGTTTGGAGGGAGAAAGACCTCTCAATTGGGTGGCGTGACATACTATCTGTTCAAGTAGAAAATATAGAGGTTTAGAAATACAGGCTATCAAAAGGAAAAATTTAGCTCTCTTGGGTAAATGATGGTGGCGTTTCAAGTCAGAGAAAGGCTTTATATGGAAAAAAGTTTTTGCAGCAAAAAATGGTGAAGAGGCTTTGCTTAAATCAAATTCAGATATTGTGTTATGGAGAAAACTATCCCTTATGTAGCATGATATTTTTGCAATTGGTGAGAGTTCTATTATTTCTGATATCCTTAAATATGAGTTTAGATGGGTGATTGGTAATGGGGTTCAAGTTCCTGTTTTTGCAAAACTCCTAGTTGTATGCATCCCTATCTTTATTTTTCCTAGACTCTTTCGGCTTGCTACAAATAAAAGAGCTTATATTTATTATAATGGTTATTTCATGGAAGAAAACTGGGTTTGGACAGTAGATTGATTTGGTATCTCAAAAGCTTTGAGGGACAGAGTTGGGAGCAGCTATCATCTAGTATGAAAGGTATTTCAATCATCCCTGAAGATGAAGACAAAATAGTGTGGACTTTCAATAAAATAAGTTTGTTTTCAGTTAAAAACTTCAATTCTTTAATGGAAGAAAAAGAAATGAGTGCTCTT